AGAGTAGGAATCCAAAGAAGGAGCACTGTTGTCTTGTTTATGCTCTCTATTTATAGAGGTCAGTCACCACGCTTCCTCCCCACCCCACCCCACCCCATCCCAAAATTGATTTTTGTCCCTTTTTGAGCCAAATCGTTCTTCTGTATTACTATTACGATTACACCGTGTTCTTTACGGTCATCTGATTGTACAATCAAACGTAAGCAAACGACGTGCACGGTCTTTCCCCACCCACCCTCATTCCCAAAGGGGTGTTTGAAAAGCTGACAGGAACTAGAGGATGACAGAAGTGACATAGAGGAATTGAGAACTGACAAGGGCTCCAGAACGCACAACATACTGACTGAGAAAGCACTCGGCATCAAAATAAATTAGAAGTCACATAAAATGAAGATTGTTTCACTCTTAAAGTAGCTCAGCCGCGAATAAACATGAAGCTCACTTTATGTGGACTACACAAGTAAGATTATCAACTTTCTGAAGCCATCTGCTCAGGGTGATGACCTTCGACTGACTAAGAAGTTCCAAATAGTAACACTGTTCATGATACCACACAAGAAAAAAAAACAGCTCGTTGTCAGTCGTCAAACCACACTCCATATCACATATGAAACGCAGTGTTCTGTAATGAATTGACGAACTCCCAAGCGGTGCCTCCATAAGAACAGTCGTACGTGTGATGCTTGTCTCTGTATGTGCGTGTCCGTCTACATGGAATTTAGTATAAAAACGTCCAACTTAATGAAACTTATTGCGTTTCTGGTTGGTCTATGTGCACAGATAAACGACTTCGCTCCAAAATAGACCCGCCGACGTCCAAAGGTCGGGTGCAAGAAACTGTAATCCATTTCTCAATCACAATCCATATACGCATTCCAAAAGAAAGACTATAGCAATGATCATGAACGGAACTAACCGACGCATTGGTAACGCGATGAGAGAAATTGAAACCAACGCAGGAGATCGGCCAAACCACGTGTTTCCACACCGTCCAATGCATAACGTAACTGACTGTTCTCGCCCAAAAACCGATAGGTTGCGTCATACCCTGGGTCAAGAAAATAATCAGAGAGCGAATCAATAGATTGGCAAGGTCAAACGTCAGAGCGAAGACCTGAGAAAATTTTTCTTTCTTTCTTTTCATTTACCTTCCTTTTTATGGAATATACAAAGATACAATTTTCTGGAAAGGGGAAGAGGCCAATCAAATTACAATGTGGAAAGTCAGACAGTGGTGGTGGAGGGATTCGAACACATCCCCGGGGTGATAATTTGGTGACGTAACCACCGAGCCACCACCACTGAGTATACAAGTTTGGCAGAAATATTGAAATGATAGCAATAATACTTAGCGTTTCAGTATGAACAAAACATTACTGATGGAAACAGAACCACGAAGAAGTGTTCTGAAGGTTCCAGTTTGAGGCCCGATGTACGCTTATGTGTAACTTTGGATCGCTTGATGTCTGTTAAATTATGTTTTTGTAACTCGTGTGTTCCTGTCGGAAATCAATCCCTGAGATACTACTGCTCCACTAATAAAATTACTTTGCAATTATGTGAAACAAGTCATTCTTTTGGATACTAACTGGAGGTCAGCGAACAACTTGAATATCAACTCCTACTAACCGACCTCCAAAAACCCTACTACTGATGCTTACAAGACTGTTCTTTTGCAATAAGTAGTATGTGTATATCTCCCCTGGAAGCACTCGACCGATTCCACGGTTCTTGCCACTCATCCGACGTGCCTATCGTGTAACTTTTGTCGTTTCATTCATACGCTTGTACCCAGGAAGTGTATTCTCGTCACAATAACCTTGTTTGCAACACGGAGTACATTTGGTAGGACAACTCTTTCGGAGGCAGTCCATGTATGAAGCAGTAATATAATTTGATGTTTTGTAGGTAGGTTATATGCTACTAACCGCAAAAAATGTGACTTAAGCACCTGTATAGAATATTTCAAGAAAAATATTATACAAATGACTTGACAAAATTATGGGTATATTGTGGATACATACGGATATATACGGGTTAAATTATATGAATGAACTGATAAAAAATTACCAGATACGCACGCCTGAAGAGTGGCAAGGACCGCGAAACCGGTGGTCGATTACAGGGAAGTTTTGTCAAATCATTCTTATACTACTTACTGTAAGATATAAATATCGGCAAGTGTAGCAGAAAATATATTCGGCATATTTCGTTTGAAATCTCACCTGTATATGTCGTGTATGATCCGTGAGGTCCAAAAATCGAATCACTGGGAGGTATTTTGAACACATAACCCAACAGACTTAGGTGTACATTTTCCTCGAGAAGATCTACGTGGAATGGGTAGCGCAAACAGCTAGGTGGGCGTAGGTGCGGATCAAAATCCGCATCCGGATCGATGCCTTTAAACGGAGTTGTCTGGCGATTTGTGGTCAGATTCCATCGGAATATCCAATCAGAGCCAAATAGAATCAGAGCATCCAAAATCGTAGTCAAAGAGCCGGGTTGCCATGATTTCACTGACAATCGCAGGCCAATCGCAATTCCAACAACAAGGCTGGACAACAGGATAAGTTTTCCCTGAAAACAAATAAAGCATGAAATCAGTAACCTACATCTGTTCAAACAATAAGCATATATATGGCGGCGCCAAATCCAAAAGACACAATGCTGGGAAGCAAATTACATTAGAATAAAGTTCGACTATACTTGAAGAATAGCTGTTCCTTATCATGATGTCATGCCTACATCATTGGTGTCTCACGTGGTTCCCAGAATTTTTAACTGAAAAGTGGGTACTCGTAACTTGTAGGTCCATCTCTTCTACTTTTCACCACACACCGGTTTATGAGAAAAAGAATTGGACTCGTGACTACGTCTCAACTTTTACAACCAGTAGCATACACCTTCATGCCAATATATCACCATTTGTCAGAGGTGACCTTTGTTAAGTTACCCTGATGCTTGCTAGATCTAACTGTGAGTAAAGGTACCTTACACTATGAGCGAAAACTCCAGCTTAAACGTCCACTATCGGACGCCACTGTCTATGTTATGTTGTGGTGACCGGGACATGACTTATGCTTATCACTGGATAAGTTTCATCGAGGTGCACTGTTTGTCGAGGTAGGAAGTAGTTGGAATAACGCTAATTATGGTCCGAGTTTGACCTGTCATGAGAGTGCGAATACCTCGAACAGGATACTTGCTCAAGTAGGTCGCGTTAGACTTCCCAGTTGAAGACCTTGTGATCAACCTAATCACTGGTGCCGGATGCTTACTCAGATGACTGAGTGCCGTAAATAGTGGTAGTCGTGCTTCCACTCAATTTTTACATCTTTACAAACATTGTATCTTTTCCTTGGCATTGGTTGCAGATCTTGAGCTTCTTCGTTTACTACTTGCAATAGGTCATGGAAAATTAAAACCAGCGCACGGAATTTCAAGACTGAAAATCGTTTATCATGTATTTATGGGCAACCTGGCACGGTAACCTAACAATTCGGGCTTTAAGTTCAAGGACGACTTTAAGTTTGTTGAGAAACAATCCATACCACGATTTCTTTATGAGATGGTCCGAAAAATTCAAATCAGTCCCTGAGTTTATCGAGATCAAAGCTCACAACCGCACGGAAAGACACAGGTAGTAGTACGAAGTATGACTCAGAACGGAATAAAAAAATGAAAGACCGGGGACTCAGCATGACAAGTCCACATGGCGATGTCAGAGGATAGCTAACATAACCTGAAGGGAGCTTTCGAGTTATACTTCACGATTATCTGTAGAAGACTAGAGGTTTTCATCTCTCTGTGTAAGACTACAGCTAGGCCACATTTGTAATTTTGTATTCAGGCGTAGGCACCCCATCGCGGAAACATGGAATGTCTAGGGATTAGCAACATTAAGAGGTAAGAACAATAAGCAAAGGCTCTCTTTGGGAGGGAGAATAGAAGTGAACCTCATCAAAGTTTTCAAGATAGTCGGCGAAAAGCCTGGGATAAACTTTGAGGGCATATTCCAATTCATCCCTCCAAATAATACCAGAGTGCACAGCCTAAGGCTCCAGTGTAGCCTCGCAATGCCGTATATAAGTGCAAAGAGTTTTACAACTAGGACCCAACTGGGACAGTTTACCCGAATANGAATAGGTTGTAAGAGGCTCCAAAATCAAAGCTTTTAAGGGTGCCTTAGATGAAACAATTTAGAGGTCGTTATCTGTTTGTCATGAACATAGTTGCTACAGACTTGAAACTGCACCATACATTGCACAGTTAATAAAAATCCTGCTGGCTTGCAGTGTTGAAAACCACAATATGGTGGACTACTATACTCGTAGCTCAGCTGGTAGAGTGTGCGTATACAAGGCGTAGGCGGTATCCATGCGTGGATTTGAATCCCGCCAAAGCTGCTGAACTTTTCACAATCACCATACAAAATTAAAATCTGCCAAACACCCATTTGCAGAATATACTATTGTCCCAAGTCGTAGATCGTCCAATGCAATTTAAACTTAACTGAACAGGCATGTTCTTGCGACCCAACTATGTCTATTTGTCGAGCAATGAAACAAATCTTTGTCCTTTTGGAAACCCATGACACTAGGTGGATAGGTACCGCTTCGATGTAAAATGCTTTCAGACACAAGTCTGTTTTCCATTTTTAAATGGAAGCCATCTGAGCGCTCAAGATGACTGTCTTAATGCAACACAGTAACCCTAGATATCAGCACTTTAAATCAAAACATGAATGCAGATAAACTAGAGTTATAAAAGTACGTCTCTCTCATCGGGCACGCCAAGTCGTTGATCTCAGTGCCTGTTAAAAGTGGACATTCAATTTATGCCATGGAATGTGGCATACCAGACGCCATTTTACCAGGATTTCGTTCTTAGTAATGAGATCTAGTCGCATTATCCTGAGGACTTGAGACAAAAAAAGACATTACAGTTCAACAGTCGGGGCCCGGAGAGATATTGCGGCGAGTGATAAAAAATGCCCTTAACACCCGCTGTGAGAAATCGCTCCTAATCACAACAAATTTATTGCTTTAATCTGCGTCATGATTACTATTTATTGTTTACTGATAGAATCAAATGAATACGATACCAACACTGCACAAGTGAATGAGAAGTTCTGATTCAGGAACCAGTCCATAAGGGTCCTCCGCCCTCAAAAACAAGTAGAACTTATTAGGAAAGTTAAGCCTTGGTTATACCAGTGATGTTTACCGGGCTGATACAGACAAAAGCATGGAGCAATCACTTAATTATTAGAGAACATTTATTCTTGAAAAGCTTATATCGCTCATGCTATCGAGGAGTAGTTCACAGTTTTCTTATTTACCAAGTTGTCACCATCATAATTTGACCATGACTGCTTCGGATAAATATCGCTAACATGAAGCCAGTTGACCGCGAATCTCAAATTATCTTGTTTTGTTCATGCAAATTGGTAGATATCAGGATCTGCATATTGTTGTTTCAGCGTCTCACTTTTCAATCATTTGGAGTTTGTTTATTTCTCACAAACTAACCTACTCGATAATAGCATACTCCGAACGCCTCTTCAGCTCCACGACAGCCCTCCAACATTGTCAGAACTTAGGAAGGCCGTTCTTGTTGCCCCTACAATGCCACTTTCGGCGATTTGACCATGACCCCACAGATCCGAAACAGGACGGCATCACAGGAACTCTGTCCGTAAGTAGGTTATTACAATTAACTCAGTTGTGGATCCCCTGGACCTTCCGTAGGTTTACGGATTACACGATTGGTGCCATAATTAGATTCTACCGTANAAATACACCAATATGAAACCGGGGATTTTTAAGAACAGTAAAGAGATAACATATAGAAAAATCATTTGTGTGACTGACTTGAGCTCTTACAATTTTCATTTCATATCTCCGTATGATTAACAGTTGGCTAGGCCGAATCCCATTGTCACGAGGGCCTTTCTATGGTTATGAAAACTGACAACCCATACCCTGGGGGCTTAAAGCAGCTAACTAAATAAGTTCATGGTATGATTAGTATGATACTCTAGGACCCGAAGCGTTCTAGTGACCACCACTACCACAGCCCCACAGAAAGGGGTGTGTTTTAACTTGTTTCTGAGTTATGTTAGTTCTTATCACTAGGCTTTAAGCAAACCTAGCAACTTGTAGCAATATGTTTTTGTGATTGTACACTCCGAGTGATATTCTTGAGATTCAACTCACATTAATTCCTCAAGCCAGGCCGAAACAATCTTGTAACTTGAGTTAACCGGTCATCTCTATAAGTGTGTTTACAACCTCCAAATGATTTTCACAAAACTTTGACAGATGTAAACTTGAATTTAACTGAGTTACACAGAAAGCCAAAATGTAATATCGCACTTCCTGTAGGCAACCTGTTCCTATATTTTTCCAGATTCGCACCGTCCGTAATCGTCGCATATACACACTCAATGGAAGCACACGGAAAGAAAGCTGAATGTGATTAAGAAAACGCTATGGTAGGTTGAAAGCAAAGGGTATTCTCAATGACGAGAGCGGTAAGATTAATTTGAATTGACAAAACTCATAGTCGGAGCTCCTCCGGAAACATTTTCTGTAGAAGCGTATCTGTTTGGAGTTTCTGAGATATCGTGGTTTTTGCTGAGTCATTTGCTGAAATAAGTATGATGTCTGTTTTGAATATTCTAGGGTTTAAACAACAAATTCTTTGTATGACATTTGCATACATGATGGCCTTTGACTCATGGCCATCAATGAGAACTTGAATTGCTCGAAGGTCTTCGGCGGGTTTATTCTTGCTGCTTCGTTGTAATGAGACTGGCTTTCTCTCCCGTAGAATCTTCTGTAAGATAAATTCAAAGAAGTCTGATTTTCCTTGGAAAACGCTATCAACAGTTGGTGCAAGGGTTAAAATATTTGGTATAAAACTAAACCTGAATAAATCACTTCACTGATTGGCAACTTATGGAGCAGTTTTTCATCCGAGTAAACTTGTCAAGCTACTAAAGCCTGTCTCCCTCCCCGCCCTCTTCATTCCAACGGCCATCTTATCCCCTGTTTCCACTTCCTCCCTTCACCTCTTCTCTTAACCCTAGATTATCCTTCTAGACCTAGTATCTTTCATCTTTCTGGGCTTCAAGGATCTTGGTGTGACTGTCCCATCGGACGGGCCAGTGTGCAAAACAGTACTGCATAAACACCCACGGGGTGAGGTGCTGTGGCTGATGGTCCTCTCCTAATTGCCCCTCTACGTGTATCCCATTGAAGATGAATCTTTTCATCCTATTCTAGCAGCCCTGGGAGATCCTTGGAGCTCACGAGTGAAAGAAACTGGACAACCTGGCAACCTGCCGTTACCGTCCTGCGCGCCGAAACGAACTGCACTGATTCCCTGCATTAGTTTACCAGCAGCATGCGACGCCGTCAGACCGGATGTTGCCTACTCCTGCTCTGATGCTTAATGCTTTAGTAATAACTATAGCGGGCTGTTTATTCTNCTTGGGTAGTTGTGTGGTAAACGACGGCGAGCTAACAGTTCGCAGTTTTAACGCCCTAGCTTCTAGCCCTAACGCCGTGACATTCTTTACCGGGTGCAACTTTCAGTGATACATTTTATCCAAATGGCCTCGTTAGTCAAGATTTATTCAGATAATTAATAAGAGTAGCGTTTTTTGTGTACCTTCGTTGCTGTAGGCCACAGCAATCGCGAAGTGCGATGAAGCCACATTGTCTCAAAAGAGTATTTAACTCAGCTAAGCGTATTATTGTGGCATTGTCAAAACCACAAACTAGTAGAAAGTCGTAAATCATAAACAGCATTTGCGTTCTCAGATCAAAACACTTCGTGCAATAGCTTCTAGGGTAACTTGTGACCGGACAGTTCAGTTTGGCTTTAGGTGCTCCCGTTCACCGTTTGGATCGATTATTGGTGATGCGGTTTTACGTAATTATGATCTATAGACCAAGAGTTACCTCATTTCACGGTGACTGGGGATAGAACCCATGCTCTTGTGATCTGTATATGATGCATGATGGTGGAACAAACGTGCATATTGCAACTCTACCGGCGGTAAGCATAAAGAAGAAACATCACAAAGGCGAAGCGAGAAAATACAATTTCCCAAAAATTAGATGTAATAATAGCTTCGTTGTTCATCTTCATTGTTTAGCATCCAACGGACCGCCCGCACATCGAGACAACCGGAATGACCATACTGCGTGCTATGTCTACTGGAAGAACATCAAATCGGTATCCGTCCACAGCCAAACATGTTCAGTTCAGTTGCTGTCTTTCTGCTGCCCATTTGGATCAAACAGACAGAAAAGTTGAAGTTGAGTTGAAGAGTAAATGGTGAATTTCGACAGACTAAGGTTGCAANAAGAAATTGAGATAACACACGAACGCCACTGGTTACGATGCTCAGTCACACCACTGTGTCTCTAACCATCGATTACAATGATCCTGATGTCTCCATCCAGAGTGCCCAACATGATCTTTATGACCGACCCCTCTGGTCCGGGCCTTCATACCCTCGTGCAAGGTATTGATCATGAATTGCTTTTATATTTGAGTCCAGAAAAACGAGTAACAACAACACATCACTCGGTACCCAATCGTAAGGCAAAATGAAAACACAACATTATGATTATTCAGTTATGTATATTCAAAGGGAAACTAGTGAAAATAAAGCGGAATAATGAAGATAATTAGCGAGGCGGAACATTATCCAGACCAACTTCAAAATGCAGTGATCAGTTCCAGGGTAAAACCCCATTATACGGTTCGTGATGAAAAGACGGAGTTTTCTAGATTTTCTGAACTTGACTAGAATGGCCCGGTGTTGACGAAAAGTGAAGACAGCTGATGACAAACTAATAGGCGTGGTTCGCAACGAAAAGTGACTTGTCTCCAGCAGCGGTTGCCATATCGGCAGTGAAGGTACCTTGAGCTGCAGCGCCATTAGCCTGGAAATAAAAAAAATTGGTAAACAATCAATTTGAGTGTGGTAAGATTACAATAACAACACAAACAAGTTGCATCATGTACTCAAAAAAAGTTAAAATGAAAAACAAGTTAAAAGCCTGTCACGAAACGCTTCGAAATCACATAAATATAAACCCACCTTTGCCAGTTTGAGAAATTCTTCTTGAGCAGCGGCCACATTTTGAGGTTGTCCCTTCCAAACATCCAAGACAGAAGCTTGGAGTGCACGACCAAAGCTGAAAGTCAGTGCCCAAGGTTTGCGGCCGGGAACTTTGTTGATTTCGTTCAGGTTCATAGTTGCCTGTATTTCGGACTGACCTCCAGAAAGGAAGGTAACACCTGATGGAGAAAACGTTGGAACAGATTGGGGTTAATACTGGCATTGATTTCGGTCACGCTCAAAGGTNCAAATATACCTAGAAAAGCACTACCATCACTCATTTTAAGATAGACAACATTCATTGTACAACTCGCAAAACCTAAATGACGAGCAGCAGCGAACATCAATCAATCAGATGCGAGTTCAAATCCATGCAACCTCATAGTTATGTAGGAAGGCAAAGCAAAATGATCGAGGTAAAACTCAGAAAGAGCAGTGAATTATCCTTTTGGCTTTAAAGACCGCCAAGGTCAGCAAACTTTAGATTTGTATTTCAATGCATCAAAATTAAATTAAAATTATGACGTACCGGCAACTGCAGGAGGAACCGTTCTCTGTAAGGCCTGAACAGTCGCGATGGCGTTTTCTTGTGGACTGTATTTCTTGGGGCAACCTTGTCCGGCGGTTACCATGTTAGGTTTCAGTAAAGTTCCTTCCAGATAGACATGATGATCTGCTAATGCCTTATATACGAAAGCAAGGACTTGTTCGGTAACCTTCTGAGCAGTAGGTAGATCGTGATCACCATCGGGAAGGACTTCCGGTTCGACAATCGGTACCAATCCATTCTAGTGGACAAAAATAGAAATTATCAATTTTCTTCCCGGAAAAGGCAAACCCCTTGGCCTATGGTTTGGAATACGATAACTACTGAACGTCTGAAAAATGATGGAATAATTTCAAAAACGAAATTCCACACACTTATCAACGAAACCCGGTGTTCCGAAGACAATGACGGAAAAGCAGCAATTATTAAAACACTCAAAGCTAAATGCAATTCTAACCAATTGTACACCAAAGAAACCGTACTTGTTGGCAAATAGATGCGTAGCGGGCAAGGACATTCGCGTTTTCGAGCATGGCCTGGTAAGATGGTGTGTGTGAACTGATCTTCAAAACACAGCGCCATTTAGCGAAGTGGCACCCATCCTTTTTGTATTGAGCACATCGTTCCGCCAAACCATCTAATCCTTGAGTAGTACATTCGTTCAATGAACCGGCCAGAGGTACAACGCCTTTGTCAACTTTGATGCCAGGAATAATATTACGTTCCTTTAGGAGTTCGACCAGCGGACGACCATCATCGGTCTTTTGATAGAGAGTCTCATGAAACAGAATTACGCCAGAGATGTGCTTCGCAGCCTCTGGGTTAGCCGAGAATAGCAACTGTCGGTATTGTCTTCGGTGTTCTTCAGTGTTCTCCACACCAATGTTTTGGAGCCGTTTCCCCATTGTTGCTGATGGATAACAATGGCCAATAGCGATAGTAATTACAACTTACCAGTGCTCTCATCGGCAGCTAAGATCCCTTTTCCAGGAGCTACGATTGCTTGCGCGATTTCGCGCAACTCCTTCATTTGAGCTTCAGTTAAGTATTGTCCGAAAACTGGCATCTTTGTGAATCTGTAATGAAAAGAACGTGACCAAATAGAGACGGTCTTTGCAGCAAAATAGACGGAAGGAATACGCTTTCGGAACTACGCCAGTGAAAAAGGCATGAAACACTACTGTTTAACCAGAGAAAAGTGAACCTCTTTTGGCGGGAGAGCACAGTCACGTACCAAAACCGGAGACAACTGATAATCAGATTGGGGTCCAGCGACCAATATATACTTTGATGTAGTAAAACAAACAGTGTTTCATGAAATCAATAAAGAAAACAAAATTTGTCAAACATTAGTGATACACCATGGAAACTTCTGTTAGTTGTAATTTATTCTATAGATCTTGATTAGTCATTTCAATAATACAGACAACTCCCCTCATTATTTGCGCTAAATCAAATTACCGAATGTATGGCACGCATCAGGCATGGCTTCAATACAAGAAGGCTCGTAACAAGGCAAAGGCTCTACAACGAGGGGGAAAATATATCCGCGAAAGAAACCTGACACAGCACATCAAGGTTTTATGCCTACGTGCAAGCCAACAAAATTATTAAAGAAAGTATAGGCACCTTGGAGATGAGTGGAGGTAGCTTGGCCACATCGGACCAAGACCATGGTCGCTTCAGTGGAACTTGCCATTAAATCTCGAAAAGTGCCAGCTCTCAATCGCAAGAGCTGATACCGTTCGGGACGGGCAGCTGGCACTGCAGCACAGGGATGCAGTNCAATGTCGGAAGGCATCCAATAAGGCTCGTGGTGAGCTCTTCAGGTTGTGTGCTGCCCTTACATGCAGAAGATAGGTCTTTATATACGAAGCAGTAGTTCGCCCCCACTTCGAATGCTATGTTCAGTAATAGACACCATACTATAGAAAGGACATAGCATGCCTGGAGAAGATGCAACGACTTGCTACCCGGATTGTAGCTGAGCAAAAGGGAAAAAGCTATAAACAGCGATTGCGAGACCCAAATCTCTCTCCTTCAAAATAGTCAGAGGGCTAACAGGACTCCATGCAGATGACTTGTTTACGGCTTCTAGTCCTCAAAACACGAGGGGTCATAGCTTTAAGCTCCAACAGAACCATGCTGGGTTAGATGTCCGGGCCAATTTCTTCGCACATAGAGCCATACCAATGTGGAACAGGTTACCCGGGGGAGTGATCAGCTGCACCGATGTGCACAACTTCAAGGTGACAATGGATGCGTATTGGCCGGAAATGTTCCCTGAGGTTAGGTGGTAATGTATCGTCACTGGTAAGTTTGCAATCGAACCTTTAATTTCACTTGAAACTGGTATATTTGAGAAAAGTAAGGTCTCTCGCCGATGAGGCAAGAAGACATCTCTTCTGTTTTCTCTTTTTCTGCTCGACTGAGAAAACCTGAGAAAACGCAGTGTTGGTAGCTAAGAACACCCACCGAAAACACAATGATCTGGACGCTCCATTGTCAAGGGCCATTATTCGTCCTGTGAAGACTGGACTGGACTGGACTGGATCAGGTCAAGTTAGGTTAGATCCAAAGACTTGCGACCGGAGTCAGGTGCCTTCCAGTTTCTTGCTTTTGTGAGTAGCGATACTTTCTCACAGTGTTTTGACATCTCAGTCCTATTTGGTGTTTATCGGTCTGTCTGCGAAAGAGCAACCCGGATATTCCATTAGAAAGGACAGTCACTCAGGGTTGTGCATGCTCACGCCGCTTGACGGACTTTTCACACAAACTCTCGCATTGATATGATTCATTAGTGTCTCAGACTAGTCAAAATAAGCCGAATGGGGATGAGCCGGGACAATATCAAAAGAAGAGCACTTGGGAAATATGCGGTTCATTAATTATTAGAACGAATCAGAGCAAAAAATGAAGTCTTGAAGTTTTTCACTACTACGATGGTAACCCAAGTGGTCCCGGATTTTTATGCTTTCCAAGGCTTCTTCTACTCCTGCATCCGGTTTGCCGGGTCCGGTCAAGGCTCCACTGGGGTAGTAGTTAGATAACTGGAGTGAATCCGTGATCTGTGTGTCAGATCAGGTCAGGTCGGGTCACAGGACTTGCGGCTGATGCCAAATTGAGTCCAGGTTCTTGCACCGTTAGCGTATCGTTTGCCTAGGTGTGGTTCGACAATAGAGCAACCGTTGCGAGCCGATTTTGGGCTCCCCGAAGCCGACTTGGGCAACTTTCGGTTCAGGTGCTACTTCTGTAGCTGATACAGTACAAGTCTGAAGAGGAATGCCTGCAGAAAAAGAAAAGAGAAAGAATGCCTGTAGTCTAGGTATGCACCTAGCTTAGCGGATTAGTGGGACGAGGCAATGCTATACCCTAAACGTTTCTCTAATTTTGTGGGTATTCGGATATAACAGGCAGGGTGCAAAATACACTTGTCGAGAAGGTATGAGAGTATGCATTAGGTAAGATAAAGTGGATGGTATGGTAGGTGAAAGTATTCCAAGGGGTCCCCGGTTCAGCAGATTGGCGTTAAACTATGGTCTGTCGTTCGAATTGCCCGAGTACTCTTCCAGACTTTGCGTCTCCTGCGTTCACCTTTCAACACACACATTAAGATATGCTCATGAGCCGATAGCATTCAGGTTGCCAGGGCACTTCATACGGTGGTGGTACTCAACAGGTACTCTTTTGGCTATTGAGCCATCTGAGTCTGTCTACAGCACGGTAGCATCGCTTAACCAGTCAAATTCCCAGAGCAAAAAGTACCAGCTGCAGTCCATCCAGGGCCCAGCCTAGACCCGATTTAGCAGGATGGTGGTTGTCGGTATGATGCCCCTCTGTTCCCTCATCTACTAGTTCGAGCTGCAATCCTTTACTGGTCAAGACAGGTGCGTGCCTTTTTTCATCCCATCTAAACCTCTACCCGTCGCCTCTTATTTTTCTCTCTCTCCCCTTCAGGTTTATATTCGGTACAGGGTCAATTGGAGTACTGGATGCCTCGGTGAATCGTGATTGGGTTTGTTGTCCCCAACACTGCTCACTACAGGTCTTCCACCACTCACCTCTCGAGTTCTGGGGAAGTGAACCACGCTCACCACTCTGGCGTGTGGGTTGTTGGTTATTTGTGAGGTACAGGCGCATCAGCTTCCCTGCCACCGTTTGGTCTCACAGTCGTTCTGATAAGGGGTACACTTGGGGCTCACCGTCCTCCCCTGTTTCCCCTGACCTTCGTAAGTCGGGCTAATTTCGAAGGAAAGTACTTTATGCCGTGATGCTCCTTTCAACTATGCAGGGTCAGCAATACATATCTGCTTGCATGCACACCGTCATGCCTACCACAGGCTTATCGTCAATCAGTTGCCAATCGCGGTATGATCACAGGAGCAAACGGTGAGAGATGTAGGAGATAGAGCACGCCAGGCTTCAGAACGACCATGCCGTGGATAAAACACCTTGATTATACGGCTACCTGTGGGAATACCGCCGCCCAAATTTTATCTAGCTTGGATTTAAATTGGGCTAAAGTTGGTGCCGAGACCACCTCTTGAGGCAGTTCATTCTAGCGATTAACTACTCTATGAGCAACGAACTTTACTCTGATGTTTCTGATTGCCCCTGGTTTCACCAATTTTACTCGTGGCCCCCGAGAACCAAGTTTTCATTGCATCTGAGGAGAACCCTGCTCGTGACCGAGCTCCCTTTAATTGTTTATAGGCCTCGATCAGGTCACCACGTAGTTTCCTCTGTTGTAAGGAAAATAATATCAGGCTCCTTGGCCTATCTTTATACGGTAACCTTCTCATGCCAGCGATCCTCCGTGTAAACCTGCGTTGTACCCGTTCTAGTGTTTGGGAATCCTGAACCAGACTTGGCACCCAAGACTGAACGTAATACTCCAGTTGCGGCCTTACCAGAATTTTGTACAGTGGTAGCAGCATTTTTGAGTCTCTGGAGGCTACTGTCCTTAGGAGTTGGAACAGTGCTCTATTTGCCCTTGATGCAGCAGATAAGCATTGGCGAGAAGTTTTAAAGCTCTTGCTCACTTGTACACCGAGGTCCTGGAACATTAAAGCTCTGTCGATGGATTGAGAACCGGAAGATCCCAAGGACCTCATTTCACTGATTTCTTGATCCAGTAGTAGCTGCGTGCACCTACTTACGTTCAGTGGAAGCTCCCAGATAGCTGCCCAGTTTTAAAGAAGGTCCAGATCCTTCTGAACTTTCTCTGATTCCGGAGGTCATCGGCAAACAAGTAAGTGGAACAGTGCAGTCTCTGCGTCAGGTCTTCAATATAGATCAGGAACTGTAGTGGCTCCAGGACTGAGCCCTGAGGAACACCGCTGGTAGCAGAAGCCAGTTTTGATTTTCCATCTCCGATCTTTACATAGAACTGCCTATTCGTTAGATATGCCCTTGTCCAGCGGAGTACTCAAGGGAAATTTTTAGGGCTGCCATCTTCAGGTTTAGAAATCAATGGTTAACGAATTCCAAGGCCTTCTGAAAGTTTAGATAGCAAACTTCGACCCGCTCCCCCCGATCCATTCTCTCTGTCACTTCATCCAGAAACGACAGTAGGTTTGTTAGACATGATCTCCGTTTACGAAAACCATGCTGACCAGCCGAGATCATCTCGTTTACTTCAAAGTGGACTTCTATGTGCTTCCTGATGATCCTCTCCATGACCTTTAGTGCCACTGATAGCAGACTCACTGGTCGGTCGTTGTTGACGTTTTCCCTACAACCCCCTCTTGTGTATAGGAACAACCTCGGCTACCTTCCAGTCCGTGGGTAACTCCCCTGCGTACAGTGACTGGGTAAACAGTTTGGCTAGGGATTTGGCCAACATTTCAGCCAAGGGCTTTAGGATGGCTGGATGGACTCCATCCGGTCCAGCCGCTTTGGATGGTTACAGTTCCTGAAGCTCCTTTCTTACCTCAGCGGGGGCTATAGTGAATTCCGACATTTCGCGTGTCGGTGTTGGAGATACAGTCTCAGGTTCTCTCCCGTAATCCGCCCGGTGCACTTGCTCGAAAAACTCTCTCACAACTTCTGTCTTGCCAGAGTTTG